CTTGCAACTTAAGAAAGCTTTAGCATATTCTACTGTAGATGCTAAAGCATACAGCATCCTAAAGTAGATGCTAATCTAGATAAGATAGATGATACGGGTGCTGACATATGCACCAACTCCTAGTTAGGACAAGCACAAGACTTATAGACTTGGTCTATCATTCTCCCATAAGTCTTGTGTGGTGCCTTCTGGGGAATTAGAGCCATCCCAATTCTGGCGCGAAGCTCATGGAACTTGACCCTCCCAAGTGACTTGGTGAGGAAATTAGCAAGCTGATCCAAGGTGTTGATGTAGTTGGCAATGACACTCCCCTCATCCAAGTAGCTCCTAATGAAGTGGCACTTGACCCGGCTGCGCTCATGGAAGACAGGGTTCTTTGCAAAGGCCAAGGCAGAGTTGCTGTCCACCCTGAGCGCCACTGCTTCATCGTCTTTGCCAAGGGGATCACCCAGCAGCCGAGCCAGCCAGAGAGCCTGAGTAGAGGCAGAAGTGGGATGGCTCAAATTCCCCGGAAGGCGCCACACAAGACTTAGGGGGAGAATGATACACCTTGTGCTTATCCTAGGTAGTAGTTGGTGCATATGTCAGCACCCTTATCATCTATCTTAGTATCTTATCTAGATTAGCATCTACTTTAGGATATGATGTATGCTTTAGCATCTACCATAGAATATACTAAAGCTTTCTTGAGTTGTAAGTCTCCTACTCCTATATGTACTCAGAAAAATCCTGCCATGGTTTGTGGCTAATGAAATAGAAAATCTGCCCCAAACCTATGTTTTGGTTCCAACAAATGGTATCAGAGAACTCCCGCGGCATCGGAACCAAAACATAGGTTTTGGGGCAGATTCTATTTCATTAGCCACAAACCCTGGCAGGATTTTTTTGAGTACATATAGGAGTAGCAAACTTGCAACTTAAGAAAGATTTAGCATATTCTACGATAGATGCTAAAGCACGCAGCATATCCTAAAGTGGATGCAAATCTAGATAAGATAGATGATAAGGTTGCTGACATATGCACCAACTACTACTTAGGATAAGCACAAGACTTATGGACTTGGTCTATCAGACCATACCCTCGTTCTCAACCTCAAACTTGGTTGTCATGTTCGTCTTCCCTTTCATGTGTCAACATCTTGTGCCACTCAGAAGTTTGATCTTATACATTGTGATTTGTGGACGTCCCCTATTCTTAGCGTCTCTAGCTAAAAATATTATCTAGTCATTCTCGATGATTGCTCACACTACTTGTGGACTTCCCTTTGCACCTTAAGTCTGACACCTTTTTGACTCTTTTTAACTTTTTCTCCTTTGTCGCCACCCAGTTTGGCACAACCATTAAGGCAGTTCAGTGCACCAATGGCCAGGAGTTTGATAACTCTAGTGCACACAGGTTCTTCCTCTCCCGGCGTCCATCTCCGCATGTTATGTCCCTACACCTCCACCCAAAACGGTATTGCCGAGCGCATCATCAATTCCACAAATAACATTGTTCGCTCTCTCTTGTTTCAGGCTAGTATTCCCCCCTCTTATTACTGGGTTGAAGCCCTCCACACTGCCACCTATCTTCTTAACATCTTGCCTACCAAGACACTTGATTTCTCTACACCACATCGCGCCCTTCTTGGCACTCCACCATACTATGCACACCTTGACATCTTCGGCTGCAAGTGTTATCATAACCTTTCCGCCACCGCTTCTCACAACCTTGCCCCTCGTTGTATCCTGTCTTTTTCTAGGATATTCTGCTCATCACAATGGTTACCGGTGTCTTGACCTTCAGTCAAATCGTATCATTGTATCTCGCCACGTCTTCTTTGATGAGGTCTGTTTTCCCTTTGGCAAGCAGCAAAGCATTCCCCCTAATGGATTTTGAGTTCCTCAATGATTCCACTAAATCTGTGTCGGCTCCCATTGGACCGTCAGCCATACAGGTAAATCAGTTGTTGCACTGCCTATGGGCTATGGCATCATTGCCACCCACAGTTGGGGCCCTGCAGCCTCCCTCATTCTCGGTGTCTATTGATCCCATTGCTCCCGTTGTCTGGTCACTCCCCATTGTCCCGGTCGGCTAGATGCCCTACAGCCGCTCGCCCAACAATAGCCTAGCATGGTTGCCCCATAGCTGCTTGCCTAGCAGCAGCCTTGCCCCAAGCCGGCCGTCAGCGCCTCAACTTCCTCATGGTGCAGTTCCTGTTCCATCGGTGGCCAGTCAGCATGCCATGACCACCTGTGGCACACTCGGGCTCCATCAACCTGCGCTCTACCATGTTGTGCCACTATCCCCGGTGCCTTGCAGCTATCGTGTTGCTCTCACTGACCGCAATTGGTGGGCTCCCATGGAAGATGAATTATCAGCGCTTCTGGAAAATAACACATGGGATCTTGTTCCATGTCCGCCAGCAGCCAATCTGTTGACCGGAAAGTGGATCTTCAAGCATAAATTCAAGGCGGATGGTTCACTTGAAAGGTATAAGGCACAATGGGTTCTTCGGAGTTTTACCCAGTGTCCCCGGATTGATTTCGATGAAACTTTCAGCCGAGTTATGAAGCCTGCGACCGTGCACACCGTACTCTCTCTTGTTCTCTTGCAACTAGCCCTCATCAGCTTGACGTCAAGAATGCTTTTCTTCATGGGGTTTTGACACAGTTTACTATTCCTAGCCTACTGTACTTGAGGATTCTGCATATCCTAATTATGTATACTAGTTGAATCTCTCTCTTTATGTCTAAAGCAAGTGCCTAGGGCTTGGTACGGTTGATAGATAAGCCTAGTGCTAAAGCGCTTGTATCTTACTTTTCCTACACTTTTTACTTTCCTTTGCTTCCAAGCCTGTGTTAGGAATATGCTCGGCATCCACTGTAGTGGTTGAAATATGCTGTAGCAAGTGGGAGTCTCCTTTGCCTATAAAGGGTAAGGGAGTGTCATTGTAAAAATAGGCAATTGCATTTTCCATTCAATCCAAGCGGCCAAGGGCCAAGCTGTCCTCTGGTAGTTCCAGATCTAAATCTGAGATCCAATCGGGCCAAGAACAGTCACTTTGCTTCACACTTACTCTAGCTTAGTTTTGTGGAGACCAAATCAGACACATCTCCGTTTATTTATCATCATGGTGAAGACACAGGTTACCTCCTACTCTTTGTAGATGATATTATTCTTACAGCTTCCTCAGTTACTATGCTTCGTCGCACTATTGCAGCCTGTCAGCAGGAATTCTCCATGAAAGATCTTGGCGAGCTTCACTACTTCGTGGATATGCAAGTTCAGAATACAGTTTGTGGTCTACTTCTTTCCCAGTGGCAGTATATGGTTGAGATCTGTAGCGTGCCGGCATGTCAGACTGCAAGCCATGCTCAACACCTGTTGATTTGCATCCGAAGCTCTTTGCAGCCAATGCTGCTCCTGTTTCGGATCCCTCTTACTATCGCAGCCTTGTTGCTAATATCTCACCTTCACTAGGCCAAACATTGCCTACGCTGTCCAATGGGCATGTCTTCATAAGCATGATCAAGGGAGCCACACCTTGCAGCTCTAAAGCACATACTTCATTATGTTGGTGGCACTCTCAATTTGGGACTGGTTGTACAACCTTGTTGTTATGTGGCTGCTAGGATCGAGAGGGAGAGGCGGCGATGGAGCTACAGTACCCGCGGGTACTGTTCACGCGAGGGAGAGAGGGCAGGAACGGCTGGCTCCCAGGGAAGCCTGCAACTTAATTGTTGCTTCTTGCTTGATTATAACTGATACAGGGTTATCTTTTATAGAGATGACTGACTTGACCCCTAAGAAAATATCATAACCAAATCAATCTAACATATATCTTTCCTAACAAACCAAACCACATATCTCTTTCCTAACAAACCAAACAATCTAATCTAATCTGTTCACGCACTACAGTACCGCGTCGCTACAGTAGTGTCATTTTCCCAAAGCCAATTGTCCTCTTCTTCAATCTCGTGTCCCCTAAACCATGATAGGAAATATGATCTCGCTGGTTCTGTACAGGGGCCGTATACTGATGTTAGCTTCCAAGACTGCGAGGTCTGAGTCGAGGTGAAACGTACCGTGATACCAAAGCGTTGTTTGTACAGTACAATTCCATAAAAAACAGAGCTGTTCCACACTAATAAGATGCCTCCTGATGCGCCCACTGATGGCACAAAATCATACTTATCAAATCGTCGAGGAGCAAAATTACGAATAAAGCCACTGTCAAAATCATGCTTTTTTTGTTTCCTGTAAACAAAAAACAGCGCAAGCACTCTCCTCCACTTTATTCCTGACTGCGTCCCACTTGTTGCTGTCATTGAGTCCTCTGATATTCCAACAGAGGATTTGCCAAGAATGTGAACGATTACTCATTGTAAACAGCGGGGAGGAAGCAGAAAGTCACTAGGACTAGCATAGCAACACAGAGCATACAAGCTGATAGATAAATAGAACATGAAGAAGTGATATTAAGGCAATGAGTACTGGTCTGCCACGGAGAACAAGTAAACCGATAAAGCAACAGTTCTGACAAAGCAAACCACAAGTCTGACATAATAAGACCCCAGGGATTTAAGCGACGATAAACAAAAGTTTCAGCGGCATAGGGCTCCCCTGTGATAAACGAGATAATGGAGGCACTAATCATGATCACGGCCGACGATCTTCAGCTGGCTCCTGCATCAGCGCCTCCTCGGTGAGATCACCAGGATCAACACCGCATTCAACTCCCCAGGTGACCTTGCGCTTCTTCGTGGGGTTCTTGTCCAGCCTATAGGATCCTGTCCACCACCGGCATGGTTGGGTTGCTCACAGATGCTGTGGTAGGAAGGCCCATGGTGCCATTCTTGGGTTTTGGGCGCCTCTTATATACACGTGTGATTGGGCTGGGCCGAGATGCCTGAGCTTCAAATTCAAAACCATGACCAAAGGTGCTAGCCGAGCTCTGGTGGGATCCCTGCTGATCTTGATCCCCCATGCTTTGATGTTCAGTACTCACAGCAAATAACTACAGTGCCAGGGCTGCTCTAGTAGGCTTCCATGGCACAATTTCCATATTGTCGAAAGAGAGTTGTTGATCTTTGAGAACAAAGTCTTTGGGGATGGCAGGAAACACCCTAACTTGTGTTGGCTGCTCGATAGAAACTTGCCTCTTGGTCTTAGCCCTTCTCCTAAAGTACACTTTTGTGATAGGACCAGCTCTTGCATGTTCCGCTGAACTGTTTGAAACAGGCTGACAATTTTCGCTGATTTGGGTGATCTGTAGAGGTCCTGCATTCATGTTTTGAGGCAGAATGGAACTCTGACTAGTGACATTGATTGCAATTTGGAGAGAGTTTATGCTCAAAGCCGAGAGGTCAATTTGAAATAAGAAGCTTGGGGTTGTGATGCTTCCACATAGACGTGAAGGGCCAACTGCCCTTTGGTTGTTTAATAGCTGCCTAAGACCATCAACAAGGAAATTGGTGGTTATAACTCTCTGGTCTCTGTCCCTTTGATTATCAGATTGAACCTCAGGTGAGTTGACAGCTGCAGGAAGGACAAGTATGCCTTGATTCTGGCCAAATACAGTACCTCGAAATTGCCTGTGCTCCAGTTCCATGACTCTTTCAGCTCTAGGTCCTACTTGAAGTATCCTGTGGGAAGCTGAGAAGTCATCCTAATGAAACACCCCAGAATTCCGGTCTTCTTCTATGATCTCTTGGTTCTGGTTAGCCACTACCAGATCATCCATTACATGATCTACAATTTGAGCCATGTGCTGAGCTTCTCCTGGCACTACCGGATCTCTTGGTTCTGGTGCTTGGAGCTCTGAAGGGAGAGGGGTGCTTGGCACATGTTCGATTGGGATGGGAACGGTGGGGAGCAAAATGTCACATGGAGCATTGGGTCTAGGTGCCCATTGAATAACCGGCTCAGCCACTGTATTACTTGGCACAACAATTAGAAAAGGCTTACTAGTCCTTTGAACCCATTTGAGATTAAATGCCTCACGCCTTTTAGCACATAATTTGGCCTTGTGACCGTAATTGTGGCAGAACAAGCAACCAATTTTACTTAGGCAGTTTCTGACAAGGTGTCTAGGACTTAAGCACCTGAAGTAGCGGCGGGAACAAGTGTTTGGGGGTGGAATGAGGCGATCACCTTGGGAAGTCAGACCCACGTTAGCTTGAGCTGGAATGCTTCTGGAACTGTTTGCAGGATGCCTAGGTTCATCAATAGAAACCTTCTGGATTTGATGAACACCGGAACTAGAACATCAGTTAACAATAAAACTAGTAGCAGGACCAATAGTATGGGAAGCCCGAACAGAGAGATGCTCATCAAAGATAGGGCAGTAAATTCCTCCAATCTTTATCACTGAAGCAAGTTCTCTTGGCTGAGATTTTGAGATAGGAGAGTCTTGAACAAGCTTGTGCTGAAAAGAAACTCTTTTGTCACTAAGTTTCCGCTTGTTCTTACGGCTGGTTTTTGTGGTCCAGCTGCTCTCTTCTTCTTTCTGCCATTTGATACTTTCTTTAACCCAATTGTCCCCACCATCACGCCACAAATGGAAGTAGATATCGAAATATTCCGTAGTAATCCTTTTGAGGGCTCGAATTAGGAGACCAACATGCTTGTTAGCGACTGGGAAGCGAAAGTGGCGATCCGATTCAAAGGTTACATGAAACCCAGCAGGGGTTCCACTCAAACAACAGTGAAGGGCCATGGCAACCGACTCTTCAGTCAGGCGAAAGAGAAAGCATCGGCGGGGTCGCTTTACCTTCTATTGTAACTTGATAGCCTTTTGCCGAGTCCATCCTTGTAGCTGGTTGTGCCTGTGAATCCTTGCTAGCTGCACGAAGGCCGCGGTCGCAATGGCGCCATCCAGGACAGCCAGCGCGCCCTCAGCCGCTACAATCGGCAGGGGCAGGCAGCCCCCGCCATCCCCGGCGGCGGCAGGGAAGGGCCCGTAGCAGACCATGCCGGCAGGCGGGCGAGGGGCAGCAGCGAGGAGGAGGATTAGGGGCCGGACAGGCGTCGCATATCGCGGCCGGCCGGGAGGCCCGGAGAGGTAGGGTTTGATGCAGCCTCCGGGCGGGAGCGGAAGCGGAGGCCGTAGGGGGGCGGGAGCTTTCTATAAGTTGATATATTACATAAAAGAGTAGGAACATTCTGTACCAAGGTGTGACTGCATAAAAGCCATTCCTTTGTGTAGATATAACATTTAGTAAATATTAGACAAGATAGCACATAAGAAAGCATCAACGCAAGTTTCCAACCACATGGATATGATAACACTCCATTTATTTGTTATTTACGGGGAGTATAAGATGGCATATAACAGGGTAACAGGTGAGTATCATACATCACTATGTCAATCTATATGAGTGATTTAGATGAAGGCATATATATGATAACTTGACATGTGAAAATTACAGGAGAAACAGACATGGTGTGTGGCAGCTATAGCTCACATCACAGACAGCCATGAGAAATTTTTGGTGACAATAACTCTGTAGATAGTTTAAGTGGTACAGTTGTTCAGTGACTTTAGGTCTAGTCTCTGCGTCTAGTTCCCTACTAGTATGACTGCAAGCAGGTATTAGAGATATGTATAGCCTAACACATGTATATCATGTGACTTCTACTCCAAGTTGTACCTTGACTATATATATGAAAGCCACACCCCACAATGGGTGTGAGGTGTTCTCTAATTCTCTATAGAGTGCCAACAATGTCCGATTGTAAGTTTTTGACAGCTATGGAGTTTTTCATACAAAATGCATTAATCAACAAACATTTTAAGATGTAAGAAAACATGCAACTTAACTGCATCCATTTACCAATGCAAACAAATCACAAGATAACTATCTTAAGGCTTAATAGGGTACAAGGCAATAAATAAGGAACGTAAACTTCCAAATTGCTAAGCAAGTATTAGAAATTTGGAGCTGATAGATGAAATTCAAAATTAGAGTGCAACATTTAACAATATGGCAAAAAATGCAGCTGATAGCATAGCCACCTTTGAAATCTTGCAAGAAGAGACTAGAAGTTCTTCACAGTCAAGCTCACTATCTTTTGGAATAATCTTTCCCGTTCTAACCCACACGCAATTGGTGACTCTGTTACGACCCAATGCAACCACATCTTTTGAGCAGATCTCGTTGAAGTTGATATCCTCAATGTTTGAACTAAAACTTTTTTCTGGACGACGGAGAGGCCTCACAATTTTAGTTTTAATCAAACAAATGTTGTGATAAAAATCATAGATCAACGGATCACCGTTGGTAACTTCATCATTTTGCAAATACACATTGATCTACAGAGGAGAAAAAAGGGCAAAAATTAGTTTTTGTAAAAAGGCATTACCCAAACTTCACCAATACAGAAAGGCATTACCCAAAAAGAATACAAGGATGGACCAACCTTAAGCTTCTCAGCAAGTACATCTGCATCTTGATGTTTCACCAAGTTTACAACTGTCACAATTAAGATAATACCATCTGATAACTCAACAATGGTACCAGAGCAAGCAAAATGTTGTGTATCTCCTACAGTATACAAAATTAATTTGTCATGAAACGAATGACTTGAAACCAGAATAACCAATAGGTGAATGTCAATCAATGAAAGGTTCACCTGAAAAGGATACAAGTGCTACCACAGAAGGAGTAACCTGTAAAACCAACTTCTCAACCTCCCAACTCGCCTCTTTAAGAGTAGAAGAATACCCAACATCCGGAGCATAACAATATGGGTGCCACTCTGGTATAAATTTTAAAGAGGAGGTAACTGTGAATTTATAAAGGTTTTACTTGTACATAACAGATTTATAACAAAACTCAGACAGGGTATTTCCAAGCCAGTTTGAACTATGTAACGCATAAAAAGAGTAAATGGTAATATGACTGTGATGTAAATGAGATCATCTGGTTTATCACTGATAACTAATCTGAAGTGTTGTTTCAGTTAATTCAGATGACACATTTTACATGAATAACAGATGCATATGTTCTATTATATTTTCATTCTTCTTAATCTTGCTTTTGGCTGGCCCATTTGAACTAGCTTTGAGTTGAGTGAAAATAAATGGTCATTTTTTAGAGGAAAAATATAGTACATTAATTATGAATGGATGCCATTAATACTCTTCAACAATTATTGTTTGTGCAGCTCAGATAGAAAAATATCTGTAAACATTCAGAATATCCAGTTAAGAAAACTCTTTCAGCAACAAAAGATAATAGAAAGGGAACACACCATTCATTAGTGCACTTTCATCCGCACTTAATACCTTAGCTGCAAAGAGTAGTTAAAATACACTGGAGTTAGTGACAGTAATTAAGATAGGAGTGGCAGGAGACAGAAGCAAGGGTGGATGTTTACTTGTATGGGTACTAGATGAATACCCCGCGCGTTGCCGCGGGATTTGCATGGATATCCACTATATAGGAATGTGCACAATATATAGAGAAATGAAAGAAAATATAGTCAGGAGTGTAACGATTTGTATTAGTGTAACGAATGCATATTAAAGTGTCCATATAAGATGAGTGGTCTGCCTTTCCTGATAATGCATGATACAAAAGCAAATAGATTTGCCCAGAAGAGATGATGCATGCATATGATCATCATGAAGGATTACTAATGATAGTTCTTCTCAATTACAATCGAACATGGTCAATCTATTGATCACAACCTTTAGGCAATAGGCAGACAGTGTAGTGAGAAGCTTGTATGCATGCATGACAATATTCTGCATACGGTAGAAAAAACAACATTATTATCCATTCTTTCCAATCATACAGATGGAAGAAGGTGCGTATGCTCATCCAATGTAGTAATTAAATTCAGAGATGGAGGTACATGTGAGTAGCAAGAGTAAAAACAAAGAAGACGCATGTGCTTATCAAATGTAAATAAGAAAATTAAGAGATGAGAGCTTGTGTATATCGAGCAGCAGACTAAGAGACCTTACATATAGTGAGCCTGTTCGCTGGTTGGTTTCTGGGCTGATAAGTCCGGCTAATGCTGGTTTGTTGTGAGAGGAAAACACTGTTGGCTGGCTGATAAGCTCTGGCTGAAACCAACAAGCGAATAGGCTGAGTAATATATATGGCTGGTAAAACGTCCAGCACTTTTCGAGCTGAACCACAACCTGACAAAATTCAAAACAATAAGCTTGGCGATCAGAGAAAAGAGGAAGCTTAAAATTAGGAGCAGCTGCTACTAGAGTGGAGGCCAGCAGCACTGGCAGAGATGAAGATGCAAGCAGGCTGGCGAGCTAGATGACCCGTCTAAGCTGTAAAATGATAGCAAGTGGTTGTGGTACTGGCGTCCATGCCCTTGGCATGGCTTCTATGCCCGTGAAACAATTTATACGGAGGTAGATTAGACAGAAGTTGAAAGGAAGGATCGCGGAGCTGTGTCGATGGATTGATTAGTGGTGGATAATAATGGATCGTGGAGCTTTGTGGATGGATTGATTAGTGGTGGATAATAATGATCTACCGTGGCTAGTGGAAGACCAAGAAAAAAGATCTGTGTGCATGCAGGAGGTGAGCGCAAGAGACGCAATAAGTGCTGAGGGATCGCGCTTCATAGGATGGTAGTGGGCCTCTGGTGATGACGTGGCTTAAGGAGATGCTAGAGAAATAAGCTAGTGGGGTTTGGTTTTATAAGAGTTTAGGATCAGTTTTTTCACTGTTTGGATTTGATCGTCGAGATGCTTCAGAATATCGATTCATCACTGCCAGGAATTCGCTGCGCATATCCAATACTCTTTTTTTTATCTTCTTCAGCGAGCTGCTTCCTTTTCTGGTTCTATTGCATCTTGCGTCAAATCCTGCTCCCCTTTGCATTATAACTGGATCAACATTCTGTGGGCGCATGTTGTAAGCCCTCTGCTCCACATGTGCAGCTAGGTCCCCAGTCCTAGAACTCTCACCCTAAGTGTTTAAGCATGATGATAAGAGACCAGTAATGGCACCAAGACAAATGAAGATACAGATACTCTGTTTATGTAACAACACATAACTAATGAACAACTGTAGTACCTCTTTTAGCTTTCTCCTTTGTTGCCTTGCATTGCTTCTATGTTCTCTAGAAGGGTTGGATAAGGGTGAATCTACATCTAATGGGAACTGCATCTTCTCCTATCAAACGACAAGGGCAAGCACATGTAGATCCTGTGACCGCATATGATGCCATAATATGAATATAAAGGATAAACTTCACTCCTGTATCTGCTACCTGCCCTTACACACTATCAAAAAAAAGGTTGCCATGCATGTGACAATGCTAACAGATCAATCACAAACATGCAACGAAATAAATCAGAAAAACAAATGTTCTACTTCTACACAATGTTTGGGACTTTGGGTCACATAATGAGCAAAAATTGTATTCAACACTCAACAGGAACATGTCATCAAACATGGAGTTTCGACAATAGGTAATCCACCTTGTAGCTGTAAAGTTCAAGGTTGGTTTGACCATTGGAGCACATTTTGCACAACCCCACAGATTCATAAGCTGGTTTAGGAAGGTTTATGAGCTGGGAACAGCTGCTCGTCCAGATTGGTTACAGGGACATAAATTGGTTCAAATATCACATAATATGGCATGGCACAAGTGGTGGGAGCTCAACTAATTAACTAATATATATGTTCCATAACGTGGTAATGAATTGGTGGCACAAGAATTGGTAGAATCCTATCAAAACTCGGGAATCAACCTAGCCGGGTGCCAAACACAAGGTTCAGCAACCAATAGCTTCATATCATACAGCACAAAATCGAGATGCTTTTGTGCATGTACTAGTACAGTAGTACTAGTGTTTAACAGATCAATACTCACGAAGCAACTAAGTCTGGTGCCAAACACAAAGTTCGACTGATGGCTTCAGATCATAAGCACTAAATCGAGATGCTTTTGTGTGCATGTACTAGTGTTTAACAGCGACGATAAATCAGTTAA